TTCCCCGCCAAATCCAATTTAAGATGAAATTATTGTATATGATAACTGAGACTTCAGGGTTGCAATAATGACATGTCCTGACCGATTCGCCATGGTTTGCTCTAAAACTCCATAGTTATAGGAAACAGAAACTAAAGAAATGAAGTAGATCTAGGAAGAATCCAAAAGGCAAACCAGAGAATTCTTCCCTCACCTGGATTTTCCTCGCACGCGCTTCTCCTCTCCTTAGAAGAGAACCTCACTTAATTATTCCCGCTAATAAAGAGTTAAATGGACGAAAATAAAAGAAATATATCAGAAAGCGGAGGAAAAAGCCTGCGACGGTTGTAGAAATAGGATGCTTGCTTTTTTACCCGATGAAACTTTCGGGTTGCTAGCCTTTGGGTAGGGCCCATGGGTTCTCCATCCGGGTATGATGTCCAAAACAAATCTAAGACCCGAACCGAAGTCAATGCCAATCCATAACGGTAATATTATATATAATATATATACATGTGTTTTTCTCTTTAAGAAGTATGTACGCACCTTGAGCGTTGTCGTTGTTAAATTTATTCTAAATTATCTATTATCTAGTATAACTTTTTTCTAAAATAAATTTAACAAAAATGTTAGAATAACTAAATAGATTTTGTTAAATATTTATAAAAATCAATAATATTGTTATTGCAATTGGTTTTAAAGAAACTTATAACCTTTAAATTCAAAAATTTTATAACTATTTAAATTAATTTATATGTAAAATAATGCGTAAATAACATATACAAACAACTACTAATATTTAAATTTTTCAAATAAAACATGACATAATTATCATTAGTATAATAGACCCAAATTGATATCGTTTTGGAAAAATCCTAAAACGGTGCCGTTTTAGGTAAGGAAAAAAAATTGCACTGACCGAAAAATGAGGGGGAAGACTGGCACGACGGGGAAGAAGAATCGTGTAGGACTCCTCCTTCCCCTCCTTATAAAAATGAAGGGAAAGAAGCCGATCAGTGTAGGAAAAGAGAGAGAGAGAGAGAGAGAGATAGAGAGAGAGGGAGGGAGAATGTCGCGACTACCGTCAGTCGACAGCCGAGAGAGGAGAGGAGGAAGGAAAAGAGGAAAAATGAGAAAAAAAGGGTGGTGCTGCGCGCAACTGTGCGCGGGAGAAAGGGATGGTTTGCGCGGCGATTCCAGGTGCATTTGGCTATTCTGTAGCTCCCTCCGACATGATTCCACCATATTTATGCTGGATCTGAGGGCGCAAGGGGCTCTGCAATGAATTTCAGTCAATTCACAACGGCGATTAGCAGCAGGCCGGCGGCGGCGTATGGTGGTCTGGTGGTGGCGTGTGTGGAGGCGAACGGACTTCCGATGGTTACATGCAATGAGTTCTAGGGACCCGGTTCGGGTAGGTGAGTTTAAAAAACTCTGATGGTTTACCATTTTAGATTTAAAGTTTATTAATTCTATTTAATTTTAATACAACAAATTACATATTCAGTTTATAATTAGAAATAAGTCCAAACGCAGGTGTTTGAAATTAGAAGATAACTAGCTCGTTACTAACTCGATACGGATGTCACTGTAACAAGTTGGTCTTGTACATTGGAGATAATTTTACGAACGAGATTTAGACGAAAATCAAGTAAGTGTGTAAGTAATTATAAATGTAATTTAATCTTTTTAAGATATTAAAACTGTGGTATTTAATAATTGGTGATTAGACACATGATTCCGATAAGATTTTTCTACTGATTATTGTGTTCTTATTTATGTTCACTACCGAAATTGCTGATTAATTGTATTACAATATTTTGGTAAATGAATTCGTGTATATACTGGTTGCTATGTAATTGAGAGTATATTAAGAATATGTAGAAGAGTTTAGGGTGATGAATGGTTATAATATGCGTGTTATAGGTATAGAATATATTAAATAATAAAAGCTAGAAAATTTATTAGTAATATGAAATAAATAGATAGACAATAAAATATTTGAAAAACACATTTAACCAGTATCACTAAGGGGTGGGTGGGTGTGTAGCCTTTTTGGCATGTGATTGTGGTGAACCCTACCCGTGAATACGATTTTAGCCAGACATGGCGAAGCGATAAGAACTATGAACTACAAATTGTAAACTATGAACTAAACTGTAACGTATTCACATGGTAGAGAAGATCTTTACTACTCTCGTTGATACTAATAGAAATGGCATCGTGCGGTGAAATTATTTTAGTATGATATAAACTGATAGGAATATATAGGAAGTTATGTGTAATGTTTATGATACTGAAATACTGAATTAGTACCTACTGAACTGCTTACTGTTTAAATCGTGATAATGAATAATGAATTATGTTATTTATTGAATTATTTATACCATAAGTTATGATACTGAGATGATGGATTCTGAATGTTTACTGAATAAACTGATTTGTAAGGTTTGGTTAATGAATTAGGGTGTAGATATCACGTGTTATCTGAAGTAAAGAGAAAAGTATTTTGAATCACCTTTGTCAGGAGTTTTATATTTTTTACCAACTTAAACAGATTATCTTATTATTTGTTAGTTACTTGCATGCTTACTAAGCATATTAAGTTCACCTTATTTATTATTAATCTCTTTCATATCAGTGTATTCAGAACTCCGCTCTTGAACAGTGAAATACTTGCGAGGAGATCGTATAATTTTTATTTTAATTCGAACAATACTTAACGTCAATTATTTTATTTTTAATAAGTATTTATTTTAGAGTTTAGACATATATCATGAATACTTGATATTTTGAGCTAAGTATGCAAGGGATTTATTTATTATTATTTTAAAATTTATTACGTAAAGTATTCCTATAGATTATTTTATCATGATATGGTGTGCGTACGGTCAGGATTCTGGATGAGAATTCGGACTGTCACAATTAGTATTTATCAAGATAAAGAATTGATTACCAATTACTATGTAATTAAATGATTAGAACATCTATTTTTTATAGGACATCGTGTATTCGAATTGAGATATGATCTCTTATCTTCTATTTAAAAATTTTTATACTATATTATAATGAATATATATAAATGCTTAAAAATTTGTATCTCAGTGCCAAAAATTCGTTCAATACCATAAATTTGACTACTATCACGAGCAATAAAAGATCAATGAAGGCTTATTCAAAGCTCATTAAGGAATGTCTATAAGATCTATCTTTGTTGCTTTTTATTTTTTTGTTTCAGTTATAGCCTCATTTGCCTTTATTACAATTGTTTTCCTTTTTATTGTTTTTATTTTTTATTTCTTTTATATTTCTGCTTTTCCTTTTCCAGATTTCTCGTCATCTTATATTTCTTTTTCTTTAATTTGTTAATCCACATATGTCTGTCTTTTTCTTAACACTTATTTGGCTTCAAGATGAAACAATCCATTCTTCTCTCTAGTTACACCAATCGTCATATGAATGTGAGCGTTCTGAATAGTACAACAATTATTGTAAAATAGTAAGTAATACTAAGAATGTTGTAACAAATGGCTTATGGAATTAAGATTAAGAGAAAATTGTGGAGCACACAAAGCACTGTGAAGGACAAATGTGGGTAAAATAGAAACATCACCAATGTGTGTAACATGCACTGTTTGAGAATTAGGTAGCCTGATAAAAGTATTGTCTATAGACCTATAGAAATCAAACATCTCAATGCAATTAACTTTATGATCAATACTTCTAGAATCAATGATCCCATTATATGTTGTAGTACTGGAAAACGAATGAAAAATATTACCTAGATGTGATGTAGGTTTTAAATTGGCTATAAAGGTATTGGTTTGTGGCATAGTTGGTGTAGTTGGTGAAGGTTGAATTAAGGCTAGGAATTTATGGTATTGTTTTTGGTGAAGGAAAAAAGCAAATCATCTGAAACATTATACCAAGAGTTAAATCTCACATAGGATTCAACTACTCCAGAATTATTTTCTACCAACCAAGTATTAGCTTGATTGATGCTCGACACATTCCGTAACTTAAGTTTATAACCTGGTGGTTAGCCATATTTTTTTTATAACATTTATCCACCGTGTGGTCAATGAATTCACAATATATAAAAGTTAGTTGTTTATATTAGTCCCTACATATTTATTTTACTAGCTCCAAAATTAGAAGTATTGGTCACTCTTTGTTGTTGACTATAAGTCTTATTCATATACAATATATTCGACCTATATTACATAAAGATTCCTGCATTGAGTCATTGCTCATGTTGTAAGAACTAATGCAAAAACCTTATTCAAAGGAGGCATATATTTAATAAGCAGAATTTAAGACTTCACTACATTAGATGACTTATTCAGTCCTTTAATAAACCAGATTATTTTATCCTTTTCATGATATCATCTATTTATATTTGCTACATTATATGCACATCTTGATTCACACTCACATGTAGGTACTGATATCAAGTTTAAGAGTTCATCCCATAATATTTTCATCTGAATGAAATACTCAGTCACTGAATGTGTTCTTCAATGAATATAGTTCATTTTGAAGATTAGAACACACACTACATCACTTTGTGCATATCTATTGTGCAGATGTTTCTATAAATTCTTTGCATAATCTATCCAGATATGTATTATAAAAAGTGATAATGATCTTATTATTTATGAAATAACTAAAGTGTTACATTCTTCCCATACTCCATACAAAGGACTACCTCTATTGGGAATAGAAAGAGATTTATCAACAAACTTTAATTTATTATTAAAAATTAAAGTCATACACATCGAACGAGACCAAGAATGAAAGTTGTTATATGTAAGCACTATAAAAGTGAGTTATAGCAAAAGATTCTCACTTGGATGTAAATAGAAAAGACTTGAGATGATTTTCTTAAGCTTCGACAAATCTGAACTCATAGATGCATCCATGACCAATCTTAAGCTTTCGATAAACAAAAGAATATAAACACAAAATCTAGGATTTCCTTAAATATTCACCATCACTAATCGATTAAAAAAATCACAATTGCTCTGATGCCATACCAGATTTTGTAATAAATATGGAGGGGTATTTAATAAAAATCAAACATTAAATGAAAAAGATTTGAGGAAATTGGTGGAGAGAAGAAAGTATACTCGGAAAGTCAGAAAATGAGAGGAAAGAGAGAATACTCGATTTTAGGGATTGTGGAAAGTGAGGATTAATTTATTAACGAAGAATTATAAAATATTTATACACAAGATTTAACTTAGGACTAATTATAAAACTGACCCTATATTATGAGTATTTACATTTTAACTCATTATTTATAAGTAATTA